ATGATTCAGAAGAAAAACACAAACAGCAGTATAGTGACACTGCGATGGGTAATATTTATTTGCACCCAGCCTATTACATTTTATTTATCTGTAAAAGTATACTTCAGCAGAATAATATCACTGCGATTAATAATGTTTATTCGCATCCAACCGGCTATAGTATGTCTACGAATTCGTGCAAAGGTCATGAAGAACTGTGTCTTGGTAGTTTTGCATATATTTGGTCACGTTATTTTGATCCACTGAAAGAGTTTAATCCTTAAAAAACCTTTTAGTGATGAAACCTGTCCTTCCAGTTCCGTTTATTAAGGCTAATGGGCATCGACGTTTACTAAATCGGGAGTAGCCTAATGTCGAAGAAATGTCCTACGCTGTTAAGTACGACAGGAGTAAATCTGCCGATAGAAGCAAATATGCGGGTTCCAGGGAGTAGGTAAAAAGAAGAAGAAGAAGAAGAAGATGCGTCCACTGGAATAAGAGTCTTATTGTCCTGACGTTTCGGATGCCGTCAAGAATCTTTATTCATAGATGACGGTAGGATAGTGTGAGATATGTGCAGATTAGGTTGATACACGTATAAATTGCACAGTATTTATAGTTCGTAGCGGTCGTCTGCAAGCGTACTATAAATACCGGTTGCTGTAACCACCGCTTGGGATCCTAATTGGTGCGGTGATGACTTGACACTTCGTTTTTGACTCATTAATTGCTGTGATTTTGTTGTCCGTGTCGGATGCGGACTTGATAATTGCGCAACAATTATGCTTGCTGTCACCGGAATTGTTGCTGGGTCCGGCCCTTCCCAGGTAATTGATTCTCATGCTCTCATGTCTCACTACGCAGTATGGGAACGGCAAATCGTTGCACTTGTTGATGGAATGGGGGCCGGAGAACCATGACTCGAGCAGCTCACGCGGTTTTCACCTCCTGCGAGCGAAACGATTTGGCGCTCCCAGACGGTGCACTGGGAAATTTTCTGGGCAACAGCATCAGTCACGTGGGCAGGACCGAACGCATCAACAACTCTGACGACAGCGAGCATAATTTTCGCGCAATTATCAAGCCCGCATGTGACAAGGACAACGAAATCGCAGCAATAAATGAATTGAACACGAAATGTCAAGCCATCACCACACCAATTAAGATCCCAAACGGTGGCTACAGAAACTGATAATTATAGTACGCATGCGGATGACCGCTATAAAATATGAATAGCGTGCAACCTGCGCATGTATCACCCCAATGTGCGCATGTCTCACACTATCCTACGGTTATCTATGATTAAGGATTCTCGACAGAATGCAAAACGTCAGGAAAATTAATTTTTTTCTTCCAGTGATCGCATCTTCTTCAGAAAAAAACATGTATCAATATGCATTATACTACGGAAGGAGTAAAAATAAGTAAGAGAACTTTAAACCATGTGCTTTCCGGAACCGGAAATGTAAGTCCGAATTTCCTCAAATTCAAGTGAAACCACCTTTATGGAATCTCATTTATTTCCACAAATAGCGAACTATTTTAATTGTAAAAATTACTTTTTTGATGACCTGTGAAGTTTCTTGTCATGCCATATAATAAACAACATGTTGGCCACATTTTTTTTCATCGCATTGACCAAGTAGGACGAAACCTAACCTGCCCATTTACTATCGACAAAATTAAGGTAAAATTAAATATTTTAAATATAGGGTATGTAGAAATATGCTTTTTGTGCACTATAACTTCCGCTTATGCTTTATTTAGAGAGGGAAGAGGGAGAAGGATAAGAAATATTGTAAATTCTTACTATACTTATTGCCATTCTTTTTTGTATTTACAAGTTTAGAACATAGCCTGGAAGTAATCGACTATGGCGAAAAATACTGCAATATAAAGAGAAAAGTAAGCTCTTTTATTTCTAGTCAAAATGAGTCATTTGTCTAAGTTGAATTTAGAAAGAAGCTTGTCAAAAGTCTCTATTTTCCTTTTGACAAATATCTGGCAAAAAGGTAAGATGCATATAATTTTGTCAGCTGAATATATTAGTAAATTGCTTTTTAAAGGGGTAACCTATTATTATATATTTGTTGCGGATGTTCTTTTTGCTCGACAGTGTATGCTGTTGTTTAGAGGCATTTCTAATTATGGCCAACATGGTCATATTCATAACAACAAATATCCAAAAACTCATTTTTTCTGTAAATGTTACTAACTGATATCTTCTTTTGAAGGTTTGGGTATAAACATTGAACAGAATCTGGATTTGTGGATGAAACTTTAATGACACTGAAAATTCTCTAAAATATCCACGAATTTGAAGAACTCTTTCCAATGGATCGTAATCCAATAGCAGTAAGATTTTGTAGCAATTCCGACCAGAGAAAAGTCCTTTTGATATAAATAAATTGGTATAAAGTAGTAGACACTTCAATCGCTGAGACAATACTTTTATTTGCCTGACGTTTCGATATCGGTCGTGGATTAGTCTTCAGAGACAAAGTCAGAGAGCAATAGCAGATAGGGTATCGGTAACCTTTAAAATGACGATAAGATTTAAATTTATTGTTCTAATTTACAGCTATTTTTACGTCTACGAAACTTTGGGAACATAACGAAAATTTCATTTTTCTTAATAACACATTAGTACTTCGTACATTTATTTTCATTAAAATAATAAATTTGGGTTGTTCATTTTTGTTTCTAAGTATAAGTACATGTATTGATGCCGCGTTGCGAGTGATCATAAATCTTTGAAAGAAACTTCGGCATTTTGCATGAATTATGCGTTGCACTGCATAATTATCCATTTTTCAGTAAATGCCTTTAGTTGTCACGACTTTTACGAGCGCTCTACAACGAAGGTTCCGCTTGGGTTGGAAAAAGTACGAAAGGGACGCCCACGCACTTGAATGAACAGTTTTTGTAGAAACAGACTAGCGCAATTAGCCATGAACAAGTTTTTTAAGCTGTTTTGTTGAAATTTTAATAGTTGCATCTATAGATAAACAGCATTCGACTGTAGGATTTGTACAGAAGTTAACCCATTTTACATCCTCTCGGCAAGTCTTCATCATAACACTAAAACTACCAATTCAGCCTTGCAGATAATTTAATATTTTATTTGGCCTACTTATCGGTGGCTTTGAGTGGCATTCCAACCCACACTAGCCCGGAGCAGACTTTAGTACAGTGTGGACTACAAGTCATGTAAAATGTCTACATGTGCGAAATATTAATACTCTCGCGCATATCGGAATTGAGTAAGGTTTTTATACTGATTATCATGAACTCTATTCTGAAGTCGTTTCAGTCACCACAGGATGTTGGCTTTTTAATAAGCTACTTTCTAACCGCTAACAAAACGTATTTACTGTAAAAGTGGCCACTTGAGAAGTATTAATTTTATCATTGATTTTGACTGCTTTTGAAGAATTTAAATATATCTAACGGTATCAGTCAAATCCCTGTACCTAGGCCTATAGACTTCGATTATACCAAGTTCAAAAATTAACTTCTAATGAAATAAAAAATGTAAAATACGTATAAACCTATGTGCAGTACACTGCCCAACTCATTAAATTTGAAGATAAAAATTTGGGCTGTTAGTTGTGAAAAAGTCAGAATTCCGCGATAAGAATTATAAATGATATTCTACTACCTGAACTATGTTTGTTTTTTGCTGACAGAAGAGACAGCAGGATTATCAGCATCCTCTACCGTAGGGACGAAACCGAACACCAACTGCCATCAAGTTATGCCAAAATACACACGGAGGACCAACCAATGAACGGAGAAAATCGATCAGCCCATGACCGACAGAAACAGCCACAACCTTAAATTGCTGATCGATAAAGTCAGTGCACTCTTTGACAAAGGACAGCCGGCCCAGCTGTCCGAAACGTCAGCAAACGAACAAACTCATTCCGATAAAATCAATATCATATTAATTAATTAATTGCGTTAATTGAATTTATTTGTGATGCAAAATTTCGCCTACTAGTAAAGATTCCAAATGAGCTCAGTTTAGTGAAGGTAAAAGTGGACCAACCTGAGTCAAATGCAAAGCCAAGAAATTATTTATGTGTGTTGTACTATAAGCGAATATTAATATGAGCCAGAAACGTTTTAACTATATCTTAACAGAGAACGGAAATTTTCTTTGTCTTCCTAAAACTTAGATAAATTTAAATGTAAGAAACTGCCTTGCTTTCGGGAATAGAAGAGCGGACTCAGTTGAAGTAATTCCGTTCAATAATTTTTTTAGGTTTGTGTCATTAAATTAAGTAAAAAATATGTGCAGTTCTGGTTTTTTAACATACCGAAAGTAAGGTCCGTACACAAGCATATATATGAACGCCCGCGACATGCTGTTAATTTTCTCTTTCACGCCGTATGCAAAACATGTGCAAACAATTTCTATATACAATTGCTTATGAACGAGCGGAACGGGTAAAAGATTATCCGTTTTCGCTTAAGCTTAGTAAAAATTCTGTCGCTCTTTTGTACATTTGCCATTTTTAAAATAGGGCATAAAGGTAAATAAATATACCGAAAACTGCTCTTTTATACAAGGCATCCTGAATTTGCTTCATTTTCCTTTTGATTTAAAGTATGAAAAGTGTAAATTATGTAGATATTCGATGACGAAAGGTTTAAATAAAGTATTTTTAAGAGGTAATTAGTTATATAAATTGTTTTAATTGTTCGTGAGCACATTAACTTGTAACTTTATTTGACTAGGTCTGACTGCCGATTGCTACTTATCCACGATAGAAGGGAACGCACGAGTTCCTGGACACAGTTCAAAAGAGAAAGATGTGATCACTGAAAAAACAGCTGCATTTTCCGGAGCTATCGGATTCTGTCGAGGATCCTTAATCATAGTTAATCGAAGGATATTTTGAGATATGCGCAAATTGGGGTGATAAATGCGCAGATTGCACGCTATTTATGGTTTGTAGCGCCGTACTAGGATCTTAATTGGGGCGATGTTGGTGTGACATTTCGCTTGCGACTCATTAATTGCAGCGAATTTGTTGTCCATGTCAGAGGCGGCTTGATAATTGCGCAACAATTATGCTCGCTGTCGTCAGAGTCGATGCCGGGCCCGACCTTTCCTACGTGACTGATTCTCCTTCTCAGACAATGTCATACTACGCACTATAGTAACATCAAATCGTTGTTTTTGTTGATATACTGCGGGACAAGCGGCGGTTATAGGAGCTGATAATTATAGTACGCATACGGATGACCGCTGCGAAATATAAATGGCGTGCAATCTGCGCATATTTCAAACTATCTTACGGTTATCTGTGATTAAGGATTCTCGAAGAATCCGAAACCTCAGGAGAATATATTTTCTGTTCCAGTGATCGCATCTTCTTCTTCTGGGCTAGTAATTCATTCAACATCAGCGGGGTCTTAGTTCCCGGACAGGTTGGCCGATCCAGCCACGTGTCCTGGTGTACGAGCGCTCCCCTCCGCAATAATGTGTGATGTGTAAAAGCTGATGAAAACTAAAATTTTGAACGTGTCATTTATTCGTCTGGCCTATTCTGGAAAATTCGCCTTTCTTCATGCGAAACAGGTTAAATGTAGAGAAGAAGACTTAATCGCTGTCACAGGAATTTTCTTTGTCTGACGCGGATCCATCATCAGAGACAATAGCAAAAAGGGGTTATTCATACATATAGGGGTAACAGTATGCAAATATGCGAATCTACTCATTTGCTTGCTCCTGTATAGCAGGTTGTATCGGTCGCACGAGTCGCCGCTTATCCAAAGGAATACAAGAGCACTTCCCGTCTTGGCCAAAAGGTGAAGTGAGAAGCATCAGCAGCGTCATCCTTGCCCGTATAGTTGACTCTTGACATCGTGTTGTCCCCAGGGATTCCTTTAAGGTAATTTATAAGACCCCGCCAAATTACCCAAAGTCCCTGGGTCAGCGTTTGCTAGCAACAACAGAAACAACCACGATCCGGTCGAGGAAGCCGGTTTTGTGCGCGCAAAAGAACCTCCTGCAAGCCCCAAGCTTAGCATGGACAATGGTTACATAACTGTCCACATCTTTCCGTACTTCCCCCCATTCCCACGTTCCCCTGTCCGGATGCAACAAACCCTCATAGCCTCGCAACCAGCCGAGTACTATTAACTCCACCCCTTCTTCCCTATTTCTATGGCTGATTTGCC